GTGTAGCTTTGCGCGAAATTCAAAACAAACAAACCATTGTAACGCGGTCTTTATTACCTGACGAAGGGCGACTGCTCGAAACTTCGCACAAAATAAACTAGAAAACGTTTTCATTTAGACGTGTCAAATTATTATTTATTGTCATTTATCCCATATTCGATTTTGGTTATTACTAATGGCAGATGCATACGGATTTGATAGTGGAGGTCCCGTTTTTTTTAGAGACACACAAGCGTTCATAGACACGTTCAGCAAGATATTGTTTATTCTTGCCAGTGTAGATGGCAGCACACTCAGTTAGCTCATGCGTACTTACAAGGTTTATACGGTCGGTCTTTGCTGTATATGACCTATGAGCGCAAGGGAGATCGTGTTTTGTCTTTGTATTCGTCTATTAGAATAAATATTTTAATATGAAAGGGGTTTAAAGATTATCCTGGGTTTAAGACGATTATTTTCTCTATCGTCTTGATCATCATGTTCAAATTATGATTATCTACGAATTAATCTATTGTTGCGTCAGCGAGGTCACGTGACTAGTATCACGCCACCCGTTTTCTAGAAATATCCTGTTCCTTCAAGAATGCCCTAGCATTTACTATATATAAGACGGTCACAACGTGAGGGGACAACAGTGCAATGAGTAATTGAATGTATGCGGATAAAATATTGTTGGCCACGTGAGACGTGAGCGTTTGTTATAGAGCGACTGTTGAAATTAAGTGTATCGTAAAGTTGTATTCGGAAAGAATAAACCAGTTTTATTTAAGAAAGGACTTGTGTCGCTAAAGTTTCGTCGGAACGAATTTACGGAAAATTAAGTAACGACTGGAGGCGTAACACTATTATCAACACATTTCTCACGTCTTACCTTTGTAGGATTCTTCAGTTTTAGGCTCCGGATTATCATATCATTATCTCGATCCGTTCCTACGTGATTCACTTTAAGATTACCGTAATACTGACTTCCGGATTCAGGCCAGAATGTAGAGCAACACTGATGAATTAAGACACGGATACAGCACATTCTCAGTGTTGAAAGCTCATCAAAATTGAATTTAATCAAATTAAATAAAGAAAATTAAAGTTTGAAATGAAACCACAGTACAACATCTAAGTAATAATTGGATATTTTTTACTTCAAAAAATGCGTATAAACTGGGTGAACTAAAAAATTAACCCAATTTAGAGCTTGTTGAAAAATCTTTTTTTTATTATTGAAAAAACTTGGTTAAATTAGAAATATTTGTTTTCAACATATGGAGTCTGTACATCTTTTTTACTTAATATTATCTAATATTTTGCACCGAAACGTTACTAAAACTATAGAGCTTAAACTGTCATTTTACCTCATCGCTGTCTGTTAACTCGTTTAGGACAACCAACGTTTGACTAGAGGAATCGTAAACAAGCTGCCAGAAGTCCTTACTTATAGAAGGTAGTGGATACTGAGTCACGATGATGGCTTCCTTTTGCCCATAACCCTAAAAAGTACCAGAACAATAGAACGATAACGTAAAAACAAAGTTACCAAAAAAAAAAGAACAAAAGTGGCTGATTTCCAAATCTAAAGTTAATGTATCACCTATGTCTCATGTTACACAGAAGTCACACTTTTAACAAGATTGTTAGTCTAACAGCCAGTTCTTTGTGTTTCACCTTATATGGGTTGGGCGTGGCCTGACTGTGAAGCTATGGATCTATAGTTCGTGTCCCGTTGCCGTGAAATCGTGCTCCGCAGTTTGGGGCTGTGGGTTCTTAGCGTGAAAATTATCGCGCGCTTGATCGTCTGCATCAAATATGGTGACGTCATTAAACCCAGCAACAACTTCAAACATCCTTTGCAGAAAGTTATTTTCTGCTTAATGCAGCTTGAAAACTTGGAAAGTTCACAAGGGGGGCAACGTTCTTTATTGTTTTACTATTCTAATAATCACACTTAACATAATATTACAGCGCCCCATCCCCATCCTTTGCAAAAGGTCAGGAATTTAACTCTTGTTTTTTTATATACTTCAGATTATCATTTTAAATGTGATAAGGCTTAACTATAACTCGGGCAATAAATTAACTATAACTCGGGCAACAAAATAATACTATAAGAAGAACCGTATACTGTGTAATGCAAATTCAAATATTTCAACAGCACGAAAGCTAATATCATTTTTCGAACACTGTTTTCAAAACTATTCTTTTAAAAGACAAAGCTCACCGATTATTAAGGATTGGAGCGAATGACCCTAAAGTTTGTTTTCATGTTAAGGACTTTATAAACCACAACGTTTAAATGAGTAACAGGCATAACATTTTTAAATATTTGAGACTGGTAAATTCCAGCCAAAAGTTTATACCTTTGGTTACGTGATCATTCATAAGATTGTTTTGTAATATTTTATTCTAAATTTAAACCTATGTGTTGACCTGAATTTCTTGTTTCACTATCATGTAGTTAAGAAGAGGAAAAAATCTGTTAACATCAAGAACTAAAGAGACCTACCAGACAGTGAACGTATAGTTAACAATAGAACTTAAAGGGGGATAATAGAATATGAGAATAGGGTAAAAAACGAAGTTACAATGGGATACACCCAGACCATGAATAAACTTTTAACAGCAGTAATTTTAGGACAATAGAAGAAAAAATGAAGAAATAGGGGTACAGATGACAATGAACATAGAAACACACGGACATAGTGATATAGAAGACAATGAACGTAGAGAATACAGAGATATAGGGGTATAGAATACAATGAATAGAGATAATACAGAGATGTAGGGTATAGAAGACAATGAACATAGATAATACAGAGATGTAGGGGTATAGAATACAATGAATATAGATAATACAGAGATGTAGGGGTATAGAATACAATGAATATAGATAATACAGAGATGTAGGGTATAGAAGACAATGAACATAGATAATACACAGATATAGTAGATAATGACAAGGGCAGACAAATATAGATGTAGCTGCCACCACAGAAGACAGAGATGTAGCAGCTAATAATATTGACAGGTAATGATGATATAGTTACCAACATAATAGAATACAGAGATATAAAAGATACTGACATTGGCAGCAATGTTGATATGGATACCAAAAATAATATAGAGATATAGCAGATACTGACATTGACAGCAATGTTGATATGGATACCAAAAATAGTAGAAATATATAGCTAATAATGACAATGGTAGACAGCTGTGATGTAGTTATCAACCAATAATATAGGGATATAGCTAATAATGACAATGGTAGACAGCTGTGATGTAGTTATCAACAAATAATATGGGGATATGGCTGATAATGACAATAGTAGACAGCTTTGATGTAGTTATGAACAATTAATATGGGGATATAGCTAATAATGACAATGGTATACAGCTTTGATGTAGTTATGAGCAATTAATATGGGGATATAGCTAATAATGACAATGGTAGACAGCTTTGGTGTAGTTATGAACAAATAATATGGGGATATAGCTAATAATGATAATGGTAGACAGCTGTGATGTAGTTATGAACAATTAATATGGGGATATAGCTAATAATGACAATGGTAGACAGCTGTGATGTAGTTATGAACAATTAATATTGGGATATAGCTGATAATGATGTGGTAGGCAGCTGTGATGTAGTTAACAACTCATAATATGGGGATATAGCTGATAATGACAATGGTAGACAGCAGCAATGTAGATTCGAACAACGAATATGTAGATGTAGGAAAGATTGACTATAAACTTTAAACTAGCAGAGAGAGGGTACAAAAGAAACTGAAAACAATTTAATGAATAAGAATGGTACAGAATGAGGTCAGATAATGAGTGAGAGAGAGATGAACGTAAACAGGAAAGAAGATATAAAAGAAAAAATAAACACTGAAAATTGTGAACAACTGAAGCCGAAGATAGGTTGTGGGAAAACTACAAAAAAAGTGTGCTCGGATAATAACAGAAAATAAAACGAATAAACGAATCAACTTGAAAACGAGTAATATTGATAAATAGAGAAATAATAAATAATGATTGAAGTGAATTTCTGACTCTGTAAAGCCACCAGTGGCTCAGCGATAAGTCTTTGGATTTATAACGCTAACATTCTAGTTTCGATACTCGTGGTGGCCAAAGAACGACAGTCATTGTGTAACTTTGTGTTTAACAACAAAAAATAAACAAACAAACTTCGTGAATACTCACGTGAACACGCGCCACGTTTTGGTAGTTGGTTGAGGTACAAGAAAAGGTACTAGGTTTCACACAGTCGACTGAAAATAAAATAGGAATTAGTTAGAATTGTATCGTTTGCAGTTTCATGATGAAACTCAGAGAACAAGTCAATCTTGGAGAATGGTCGGAATGAATGAGTGACAGATGAATAAATGACCTAATGTATATTACGTGAAACGAAAACTAGATCAGAGTGATCAAATATAAAGTATTAAAAAAAAAGACATTAAGAATACAATCTGTGCTTTTGTAAACAAGAAAATATCTCCAAGCAAGAGACAGAAATATATTAAAATTGAGTAAAATATAAAATATATCCCTTAAGGAAAGGACGGAAGAAAAAGAACGATATCAGAGGGACAGGTGGAATGTCTAAGATAAATATTTAACAAAGAGACCAAAGTTAATGTATTAAAAAATCAAATAGATAAATACTGATTGATATGAGGCTAAAAATATATGTAATTGGATTCACAAGTATAACAAAAAACTAACTTTATTGTTATAGCAACCACAGGATAAAACTGTTGCTAAGTAACCAAAAATCAAAGTTGTTATAACAATCACTTGTTGCAACTGTCGTTGGAACAACAATTTATGAAGGTAAAAACCGTTGTTATAACATTTACAATGTAAAGCCTTTACTGTAAAAGCTATAAGCTCCAACTTACGTGTTACAGAATCGGATGACCTGTCCTTCGTTTTGTTCTCTGAATGACTGGTGATGATCACTTTATCTTCTTCTTCTTGAAACTTTGTTGTCTCTTTTCTCAAATGCTTAAAGATGGAAAGTGCTTAATGTAGTTATAGGGCATTTGCAGGTGTCTCAAGGTTCTATTGATTTTACATGTACTTTTAGATTGTAATATCTTGATGGTTAAGACGAAGGAGTTTCTATACACTAAGAAAATGAGCCATTAACCTTGTATTTGAAACAAGGAGAACAAAACCCAGGGAAAACGAGTTACTACAAATTCTGAAACACGAACCATGTATTTGATAATTAAAGTAAAACCAGGAGGCCAAGGAAAGACAGGTTTTTCATAGACATTGGGAATATGACCTATAAACCGGGTATATAGAGCAAGGAGAACAAAACCCATGGAAAACGAGTTTCGACGCACTCTAGAAAAGTTAAATCATAAACCGGGTATATAGAACAAGGAGAATTAATCCCAGGGAAGACGAGTTTCGACAGATTCTGGAAAGATAAGCCAT